GTGGTATTGGTCAACGTCATTTTACACAGCCGTATGAGTTTTGAGGGGATGCCAAATTCAGACATAGCGGCGTATAGGCAACTCCTTTTAGTGCTGTCAAAAGCCGCTTTAAAGTCGACAAATAGGTGGTGAGTGTCGATCCTTTTCTCGCGGGTCTTTTCCAAGATTTGGCGTATTGTGAATACCTGGTCTATGGTGGATTTGCCTGGTCTAAAGCCACACTGATAAGGCCCAATCAGTTCATTGACGGTGGGCTTCAGTCTATCACACAATACGCTCGATAAGACCTTGTAACCTATGCTTAGAAGGCTGATCCTGCGGTAGTTGGCGCGAATGGCGGGGTCACCTTTCTTGTGGATTGGGCAGAGCACACTTAAATTCCAGTCGTCGGGCATGCGTTCATGTGACCATATTCTGCACAAGATTTGATGCATGCACCTTATCATCTCCTCGCCGCCGTACTTGAATAGCTCAGCTGGCAGGCTGTCAGCTCCAGCGGCTTTGTTTTTTTCAGCCACGTTAATGCTATACGTACCTCGTCATAGTCAGGCGGTGGAACGTCGACTCCGTCATCATCGACTGCGGGCTCGGGTTCTTCTTCTCCACAACTTTCCGTGCTGCTACCATTTAGTAGGGCGGAAAAGTGTTCCCTCCATAATTTAAGTGCGCCCCGGTCTTTAAACCTTCCGTAAGTCGCCTAACTCTCTGGTAAAATTTTCGGGCATTCCTCCTGTCGGCCAGCATTTCAAGCTCTTCGCACTCACGTATTTCGGCCTCTCTCTTCTTGTTGCGGCAAATACGCCTCGCTTCCCTCTTCAGATCCCTATAGCGGTCCCACATAGCACGCGTTGCGCCCGATCGCAGCGTGGCCCTGTAGGCGGCATCTTTTTTCTCTGCAGCTTCCTGACACTCCTCATCGTACCAGTTGTTCTTTCGGGCTCGCTGAAATCCGACTACTTCTTCGGCGGCGGTACTTAATGAGCGGGAAAAGTGGTTCCACTGCTCGCATATGTCGGTTTGTTGAAGAGTGCTCTCTGAGAGCAGGTGTGAAAGTCGAGTAGCGAAAGCGCTGGCTGTCTGTTGTGATTGCAGCTTTTCGACGTTAAGCTTTCCTTGCATATTTGGGCGCACATTTTTTTGCTGCACAGAGGCGGGTGCGTATCTTGGCTGCAACAAGATAGTGGTCCGAGTCGATGTTTGGGCCTCGGAGTGTGCGTACGTCTAAAACACTGGAAGCGTGCCTTCCGTCTATCACCACATAATCGATTTGGTTTCTCGTTTTTCGATCCGGAGACAGCCACGTAGCTTGATGGATCTTTTTATGCTTGAACCTAGTACTGCGTACTACCATGTTTCGGGCCCCGGCGAAGTCGATCAGCCTCAATCCGTTGTCGGACGTTTCGTCGTGGAGGCTGAATTTTCCGACGGTGGTTCCAAAGATCCCTTCCTTGCCCACCCTGGCATTGAAGTCGCCAAGCACGATTTTGATATCATGACGGGGGCAGCGCTCGTACGTGCGTTCCAAGTGCTCATAGAAGAGATCCTTGGATGCCTCATCCTTCTCTTCCGTCGGGGCATGGGCGCAGATGAGCGAGATGTTGAAGAATCTCGCTTTGATGCGGATTGTGGCTAGACGTTCGTCCACCGGGGTGAACGACAGTACTCGGCGACGGAGTCTCTCTCCCACTACAAATCCAACACCGAATTTGCGCTCCTTTACATGGCAGCTGTAGTAGACGTCGCAAGGCCCTAGACATTGTTTGCCTTGCCCCGTCCAACGCATTTCTTGGATGGCGGTGATGTCAGCTTTTGTCCTTACGAGGACATCAACCAGCCGGGCAGAAGCACCTTCACCATTAAGGTCCGGACATTCCAGGTGCATGCCCTCAAATCGTAGTCCTTTAAACGTTTGCCGTGGTCGTCATCAGAAGGGGGGGTCTCATCCGAGGCTTTGCCTTGCTTCTTCACTGGAAGTGGTTTTTACGTGGCGGGTTTCAAGCCCAGCGCACAACCCATTGCGGGCAAAATGAAGGCATTATGAACATTAAATTCCAATTTTTAACCACTGCGTACTGGCTTCGTCATGCAGTATGAATTATGGTAAACGCATTTTGGTAGCTAAGGATGGCGAAGTCCTTGAAAAGGATTTGGCTTCGTTTTTCGCTACAGCAGGGAAACTTGTACAATTCAATAATATAATTGACTAGTAAACATTTGATTTAAATTACTATATGGGTAAGGTACTTTTATCATACAAGTTGTATGTGCGTATTCCCAAATCATTTTGAAAAAAAGTCCTTTATTTTACGTTGGTTAATATGGTCACCGTACCTATAGGATGGCATTGCCATACGTACATTATAATACAGTGGTAGAAAAAATTACAGCCACCCCACATATTAAGAAGTTTTCACAATTTTTTCTTTATTTAATTTTAGTTATTTTTCATAAGAATATAGTCCATTTTTTAACAGAAACAATATAAATGAAAGGTTCAACCGTTGAGCAATATTAAAAAAAAAAAATAAACAAACTGGTAGAAATTACGAGTAAGTACCTTTTAGAATTTACCTGCCCTTCGAACACATTTTTTGAGAACAAATTTTTTTTTTAAAGGGCAGATAAATTTTTAGAACTACGTGAGAAAACGGCCCTTAGAAAGATTTTGAGTATGTAGTTTTGTAGGAACTCTTATTAAAAAGTAATTACAAAAAAAAATGTATGGGACAATTTTTTTTTTCTTTCTTTTGGATTTCGCGGAACTTTTTTCGGGACTATTAGGGAAATGTAGAACTCTTTATTTCTTGTAAGTTGGTGATATCAGAACCGTTTTTGCTGAATAAAGGCTTGCGCGTGAAGTTAGCTAGCGATTTTTGTTTTTTAGCTTTTTTGGGTTAAATTAACAAAACTATTGAAATTTTGGTTAGGTAACTGTAGAACTATTGCCTTGCTGTCAGGAGCTCTGATTAAAAAGTAATTAAAAAAATAAATTTTAGGGGCCTTTTTTTCAAAACTTCGCGACTATTAAGGAACTGCAGAACTCTTTATTTCTCGCAAGTTTGTGTTATCAGAACTGTTTTTCCTGAAGAAAAGGCTTGCTGCGTGAAGTTATTAAGCATTTTAGTTTTTTTTTAGCTTTTTTGGCTTTAATTAACAGAACTATTGAAAATTTGATTATGGAACTGTAGAACTATTATCTTGCTGTCAGGAACTCTGATTAAAAAGTAACTTTAACAAAAAATGCTTGCTAACTTTACACGAGCTTAACAGCATGGTACTCCTTGTTTATGTTTCTCTTTTTTTCGGAACATATTTTGTTTGACAACTTTTATCATGTATACAGGCTCGAAATCTTCACATCTGTTCCTCCCATGCCCTCTTTGTTAGTGTGAGTAATTTAGATGTATGAAAAAAACTTCACAGTGAGGCAAACTGAATTCCGATGCAGACTTTTAGTATCTTTCCTAAACACTAATAAAATAATTTTGTCCAGCTAACTTGTTCTAGTCGCCACACTGTTAGACGTGCTGACTTCAGACACTGATTCAGTGAATCGATACATAGTATAAAGGAAAGTTCTTTGTACACGGTAATCTTAAAAACTACTGAACGGATTTTGACGAGATTTTCTCTAATATACTCTGTATCGATAGGAGAGTGACCTTTTTGTATAGAATTTTAATAGGGTTGCCACCTGTATAAAAACTATAAGATCCGCACCGTTCGTTGGATTACAAAAAATTAGGTGTCAAATGAAAGCGATTGGTCTCTAGAAAATCACGAAGGTCTTATTTTTTTAATATGGTTGCCACCTGTTAAGAAATATACTATATTCAATCCTAATAAGCGTAGGCGTCAGTTCCGCATCGTCACTGTCAAATGAAAAGACTTAGCCTCTATACATAGTAAGAGGAAAGGCGAGATATTCTGACCACGCTACTTAACAGATTTAGGCAAGATTTTTTAAGTATATAATAAACGAAGTACATGATGACATATGATTTCTTTCTCCAAATACGTAAATACATACATATACATACATCCGCGGCCGGCCAGTATCCAATAAATCTATATTTTCGTTTTATTATCTTATTGTAGGTTTTTTTTCGAAATGGATAGCCGGTACAACCGGTTGTTGAAACAAGCGTGACGTAATCCTTTTGGAAGTAAAGTTTCAACATATTCTGTACACCATTGTCTTACCACTAATTCCATGTAAATAAATCGTTCTCATAATTTAGCACGCAAAACAAAAACAAATTAGGAAAAATTGTTTTTGTTTTTCTTTATAATTTTTGGAAATAGTTATTCACGCGAAATTCGCGATAAGACCAATTCTTTGTAACCGCCCAATTGAAGCTCTAAAATTACATGATTACATTGATTAAAATATATGTAATTTTCTTTAAAAAAAAATACATGGATCGAATCGTAACAGTCGTGAACGAGCAACTCGTCACATCAAAATTAATATTTAGGTTTATAAAAGTCGTGAACGTACTGTTCGTCTCGTAAACCGAATTATAAAACGAGCAGTACGTTCACGACTGTTATAAACAAAAAATAAGCATTTTTGCGTGATGAGTTGCTCGTTCACGACTGTTACGATTCGAGCCCAGACCAGTGTCTATTGTAACCGAAAAATGTTATTCAGAATGCTGACAAATAAATTACTCAGGCGACTGACGAGTCACGAAATTTTGTTCGTACGATTTTGAACTCGTTCACTACTGTAACGGTTCGTGCCAAGGTCCAAATAAATGCAGTCGATTTCGAATGAAACTCGACTCGAAATGTGATTTTGGAATCGCGGCCCTCGATAATAAGTGCGCTTCGTAAATTTGAATATCATTAGAGGAAAAGCCGTTACAATTTCATTACGTTCGAATACGAATGCCGTAATTTGGACCCAGGTCCTTAATAAAATTTTGTCTTGCTTTGTAGCTAGGATTCTTTTGCAAGCTGATTACAAAAAATGACTAATATTATTATGATTGCAGATTCGTAATATCATGGCGGAATTGGGGATTCGTCGATTTCAAGATTTAATCGGACGAACAGATTTACTTCAAGTATCTAGAAAAGGAAGCAGCAAATCGAACTCTTTAAACTTCTCTCTGCTGTTAAAAAATGCTTTGGAGTTAAGGCCTGGTACAAATATTGTAGGAGGCTCCATACCTCAGGATTTCCAGTTGGAAAAGCGTGCTGACTACAAACTTATTCAAATGGCTCAGAATGTTTTAGATGGCGTTGAGGATAATACAACAATTAAATTGCTTATAAATAATGAAGAGCGTGCCTTCGGATCAACGTTAAGTTATCACATAGCTTGGTAAGTTGTGAGGACAGAAGTTTGATATTAAGGTGGAAATACGTACTATGTTTATACTTATGTAAACGTAAAAGCGTAGCAAATTTCCCTTTTTTATAATCCCAATGGATTTTTTTACCCTCCATTCCCGCCCATCCGCACGAGGGGCGCAGTCCGCGTGACATACGGAGCCAGTATTTTCAATTTTTGCGCCGAGTCACGATAGGCAGGAGTTTGTTAATTGTCGAGATCTAAAACTGTTCAGCTACAGAACTAAATACATCAGCCGATTTTATGCCTTTATTTTAATTATTCATTTATTGAGAGAGGACAGTATCGAATTCTTAATGCTGAAAAGCGGATCTGATATATCAAACGTGCTGGAATGAGAGTTAAAATCCTGGCATAAGCAACTGAGTGGGTCATGCAATTCAAAACTAGTTTTACAAGTTTTCAGAAATAGGGCTAACTTCGCCCAGAAGAAGCGGACTTGAAATTGAGCCTGTTAGTAATTTAACTATAAAAATTATACCAAGCATTTGCCTGCGGCTGGAAAGTGAAGGAAGATTTATAAGTTTTAATCGGCTCGTATAAGGTGGAAGGTTATATTGACAATCCCAACGGAAATTTCTTAAAGCAAAAAGTAGCAATTGTTTTTGAATTGAGTAAATTTAATTCTGAGATATCTGAGTAAATTTGATACCTTGGATTCCAAACCACCGAAACGTATTCCAAAATTGGCCTTACTAATGTTGCAAACAGGGTTTTAGTGATATAAGGGTCAAAAAATTATTTTGACCATCGTTTCACAAATGCAAGTGCACCTTTAGCCATGTTGGCTGTCACATTAATATGAAGATTAAAATTAAGCTTAGGATCCATTGTGATACCAAGGTCCACAAAATTGTATACCTGTTCCAGGTTATGGTTACCTATTGTATAAGAAGCGGGATGAACAGCTCTTCGCGAGAAGCACATTACTCTACATTTCTTAAGATTTAGAGGCATAAGATTTACTTGACACCAGTAAGCCATGCTGTTTAAGTCTGATTGTAGCAAAGACCTTTCTATAATTGAAATGTAAGATTTGTAAAGCTTTACAACATCTGCATACAAAATCGGACCTAGGTGGCTACCTTGAGGGACTGCTGAAGTAACATCAATGACGTCAGAGATAGTATTTTTAAACATTACCCTTTGTGATCTATCGTAGAGGTATGAAGAGATCCAACGTAGAAAATTAGGTGGAAGACCAAGAAGATCAAGTTTGTAGATGAGCAACGAGTGGCACACTTTGCTTTACTGAAGTCAGTATATACATATAACATCAACAGTTTTGCTTTCACTAAATGCTTTTGAGATATAGGATGTTAATTCAAGTAAATTTTGTAGAAGTTGATTTGCCCTTGCACAATTCATGTTGACTATATGAAATGCTAGAAGAGATAGAATGCGTCAACTGATTTGTTATAATTTCTTCAAATAATTTAGGAATTTGCAGAAAGCTTAGCTATTCCCCGGTAGTTCTCCACTGAAGATCTGCTACCGCTTTTATGTAACGGGGTTATGAACGATTCCTTTCTATATAGTGGGAAAAACGCTCTCTTTAAGAGACAAATTAAATGACGCAGTTAACGGCTCATAGAGATAATCAGCGCAATTTATAAGAATACAAGTAGGGATTTGGTCAGGATCATAACTGAACCACTGCTTTAAGGATTTCAGATAAAGTACGACGTTAAGCCCAAATTTTTAGGGTGTATTTAAAATTCTCAGTATGCAGATTTTTCTGCTTGATTAGACCTAAAACACGTGTGAACCTCGAAAAAGTATATTAAGTTTTTTTGGTCACACAGTGTAATTTAGATCGTCATTAATAATCTGTATATGCTTGTATGTAAATATATGTGTACTGCCAGAAAAAAATCCGGAAAAGTATCCGAAAAGTGGCAGAAAGGTAAATAGAAAAGTGCCACGAATGGTTGTGAAACGAATAGTTTTCCGGCTGTTTTTCTGAAATTTTTTATTCTGAACTTCACATTAGCTTTTTCATAGCTAATTATACTCAGCAATTAATTATATTTTTATAAATACTTGTAAATATGTTCGTCTGCCGGAATACGAACCTGGTACCTCATGAAAGATTACAAATAGTCGCACGCTCAGCTACTGCGTACATATTTTCAAATGTTCCGTTTGAACAAATATTTTAATATTATTGTTTTCAAATATCGTGATATTTATTTAAGTTAAATAACATAGAAAAATGGTAGCAGGGCAAATGGAGTCCAAATATATTGTTGCTGTTGTCGTAGCCGCTACAGCAACCCCGCCCAGATTGGTTAGTCTTTCAATCGTTGTCGTCAAGCTCTACTAACGGCAGCTCTAGGAAGTGTGCATCCCCGACTGGGTCTATCCATAGGAACAGGACGTTAGCGTGGTCGGATTTAGAGGGTATACGAAGAGATGCTGCGAGTCATGGGGCGACTCTCCGCTTGCCGGGCATTCATTGGGAATATTTTAGTTTAATCTGCTCAAGTATGAGTTCAACGTGCTGCAGTAACCGGAGCGCAGTTGGGCTATTGTGGTCCGAGTCTCCCGAGGCAGACGAAGTTCTGTCTCGTACACGTCTGGTGGTTGTATGCCGATAAAGGCATTCACAGGTCGGGAGTCTACATAACTCTAGACTGCCTCTCTGTGAATGCTATTCAAGGCCTGTCGTTAAGCTGTCGGATCCACAGGTTGTTCGGTGAACCTCTGGACTTCGTCCGTCAGTTCGTAGAGATGCCTCCTGACGTGCCTGGGCGAGAGCAAGGCGTTGCCTGTTTGGATGGAAGCATCCTGCCGCTGTCCTCAGTGCCGTGTTCTGGCTAGTCTGCAACTTTATCCACTGCGTCCTACTAGTCCCCGGTGACCACGCGGGCGCAGCGTAGTTCAGAACCGGCCGGCCAATTGTCTTGTACGTTGCCAGCAACGTTTCTTTGTCTTTGGCGGCTAGCGACTTGAGGACCTTGTTGCGGCTTTGTACTTTGTTGACCATTGCGGTTGTATGCGCCGAGAAGGAGAGCAGACTATCGAATATTACTCCGAGTATCGTCGGCTTGGTATATCATCGACGTGAATTCCCAGTTGGAGTCTGACCTCCTTCGTCCAGGTGGAAAATAGTGTGGCTCAGGATTTTGTAGGGGAGACGGTTACGCTCCGTGCAGTGAAGAAGCGAGAAAGCTCGGCGAAATAACCGTTAACTTTCGAGAACAAGTCATCAATTCCATTCCCGGACGCTATGATCGAGCAGTCGTCAGCATAAGAGACAATCGAGACTCCCTCTAGTGGTTCAGGGAGCTTTGAAATGTAAAAGTTAAACAGCAATGGGAAAAGGACACCAACCTGTGGAACCCCCTGTATTATTTTCCTCGGTGTGCTCGATTTGTCTCTAAAAGTTACTGATGAGTGACGACCACTCTGGTAATTCGCCGTTTGAGTCCCTGTGGGAGACACGAGGCCTCTATGTCTTCTAGTAGCGTTGAATGGCTGACAGTGTCAAACGCCTTAGACAGGTCCAGCGCTGCTAGAATGGTTCTCTCACAGAGCGCTTTCGGTTTAGGCCCCGAGTTATCTGGGTATTTATGGCGTTAAGTGCTGTTGTTGTGCTATGCACTTTACGGAACCCATGCTGATGCTTCGCTAGTCAGGTGGTTTGTAAAATACGGCAGTAGCAAAGCCTTTAGTGTCTTCGCTACCGGGGAAGAGAGGGTGTTGGCTGGTTTCCCCGGTTTGAGCAGTGGGACCGGTCTCCCCTTTTGCCAGATGTCTGGAATGACGAGAGGGGCCATTGACAAATTGGGGACCTCCGTTAGGTACGCTACTCCCGTAGGACCCAAATTTTTCAGCATCAGCATGTATATTCCGTCGGGGCCAATGGCTTTGGAGGCTTTCTCCTTCCCGGTGGCTACCCTTACCTCACCGCTTTTGAAAACAAGAGGCGCACTAGGTTTTGGCAGTTTGTGCAGCCTTTTGGTCACTCGACGTTTGGCTTTATCCTCCGAAGGATGTAAGATGAACTGTCAGCTAAAATAGCTCACGCATCGCTCCGGGTTCGACGAAGTGTGTTCACCAAAGTCTATTTCAACTCTGTCGGCACGCTTCGGCGGGTTGGACAATGATCTCTCGGTTGACCAAAGCTTACGCACACCAGAGGCGAAGTTGCAGGTCTTCAGATGCTCTTCCCATTTCTTCCGCTTACAAGTTGCCGAATCTCCGAGATGAGATCCCTAATACGGGGATTTTAGGGATCGGCCTGACGAAGGTTGTCGCACTCATCGGCTAGGACAGCCGCTTCAGCTGGAAAATTCGGACGAGGGTCCGAGATGCATCCCGCTGGGATGAAGCGGGCTGCAGCAGCAGTGACAACCCTGTGGAATTTACGTTCACCTACGTGAACGTCGGTTGGTATGGGTAGTGCAGCGAAGGCGCTTTCAGTAACATCCGCGAAGATTTTCCAATAAGCTTTAGAAAAGTAGACATAGGTCCGGTGATCTACGGAGGCAAAGTCGGCTGGTTTATCAATCGAGATGATTATGGGCAGATGGTCCGATGCTAAAATCAGCAGAGGTCGCCATGATACTGTTTATCAGAACAGCGCTGACTATTGTTAGGTCTGGCGAGCTGCAGTAGCTGCCCATAATCCTGGTGGGTGCGTCGTCGTTCATTGTGCAGAATGTCGAGTCATCTATCTGCTCAGCCAATTGTGTTCCCCTACGATCGTTTGACAGGCTTGAATGCCAAAGTTCGTGGTGCGCATTGAAGTCACCAACTACCATACGGTTTTAACCTCTGAGCAGCGCACCTATTTCAGGGGGTGATATCCTGCCGGGCAGCTGGTGGCAGGTGGTATACATACGTTGAATATTTCGAGCTCGACATCACCTCACCGGATAGCAATTCCCTGACATTCTAGGGTGGTATCCTTGCGGTCGATGCCTGCTTCGATAAGACGATACTGCACGGTGTGGTGCGTTATG